CTACCATATAAGTTTCAAAACAGTCAATCCACAATCAAATGCACACAGCCTGCATAAAGTAGCTGTCATTTTTCACGAACCGTTGTGACTTCCGTAAAAAGGTGACGTCAGAACTACTCAGTCAGCGCCTTCAGTCACCACCCCGAGCACTGCCCACAGTCCCACTCTCCTTTTGCCAAACCCCCAGACAACATCGCGTCCATGCCATTGCTGAGCAACAACAACATGGAAACATGTCGAGAAAACGCTGTTCAGTCTGGATGTCAGGAAACTACATCATTGCACAGTAGGGCTGTGACAGTCGCCATGACAACCGCATCAACACCGGCGGTAGTGCACGTGACGTCACACACTCTATAACAAGCATAATACAAAGTTTTGTATACAAGTGTAATAATAGTAACACTTGCTAATTGTTTTATTTAGACTATAAGTCTATGCTAATTCACAAATGACCTCAAACATCATACACGCATTTGATCCTTTAGATTAGCAGGTTTGAGCGCAGGAAAATACAGTACAGAATACAGAAACCAAATACTACATCGCCAATCTGGAATAATTCCATTCATGTCACTGATCCGCGTTTGTGCAAGTGCCGTCAAGTTCATGTGATCGCAAACGCTCGGCTGGTCCGGTTTGTATTTACTGCATTCATTGTGTAAAAAAAAAAACATGAATTACCATTTTGAAACATCCTGTTGTAAGTGCGTTTGAGGAGGTGGTTGGTTGTCTCCTGTCGTCGCCGATTCGGGGTCTGAGTTCGGCTCAAACATGTAAGGCCGGACAACATTTCCCTTAGCAGTGACCATCATTACCGGTGTTTCTATTGACCTTACTTGTGAGTATCACCAATCCACAGCAGGCTACAGCATACATGACCCTAGTTACCTGTGGTTGGCCTGGCCGTGCGTCACTCAGAAAACAACAGGCCGATCAGAAGAGAGGCTCATGAATATTAATTAGACAGGCCAAAATCGACCTGTTCTTTGCAGAGCTCCTGAGAGCGGAGCTGTAAAAATATATTGAGATGGTTTTTGGTACTTATACCGCAAATACATATTCTTAAGGACATCAAGACATCAAATAAAACTCCAGAAATGTGTAAAATATGTGACCTTTAAGAACTATTCACTGAAAGGTTCTTTGGGGAAACCAAAATAGTTTTTCTATGGCATCGCTGTGAAAACACCCTTTTGGAACCTTTATTTATATAAGAGTGTACCATATCTAACAGTATATTCTTATTCTCAGATATACCTGCCTCAGCCGCCAATGTGTCCAGACCCCGTCTACAAGCTCATGTTGAGCTGCTGGCACAGGAACACCAAAGAGCGTCCATCCTTCCAGGAGATTCATCACACATTACTGGATTGCAAGCCATAGTGTCCACGTGTGTGCCAACCTTGGCACTCCCAGAGACGTTTCAGTGCGCCCACAGGACTCCAGTCAACTACACACCGCAACACGCACTTATATGTTCCCGAATATAAGTGAGATCAGAGTCTATCATTTTTCTGTAGCAATTTTCACTGTGAGTGTGCAAAGGCAAACTGATATATATTGTACGATTGAACTACGCCCCCTAACTAAGTGCCTTCGGCTGGCTTACAATTCCTGGGCAGCACTAGGCCAAAGAAAATGTAGCAATAAATTTAGGCACCTTTAACACAGAAGAATTGGATTTTACACACTGTTTTTTTTTTCTTCAAATAACTATAATAAAATATTTCTTTAATAAAATATATATAAGAATATTTCTGAATAGAAAGAGGAAATGCCGAAAAACAAGGTATTGGCTACTAATACTCCTTTTATTATTTCCAATTTAATGTTGTTTTCAGTATTTTGAAGCCGAAGACAGCTTGAATGTAAATAAGAATCATTAATTGACATTCAGATTCACCTTTGGTTTTATCTTGATGTCTCTTGACGTTTTTGTGTATAATTTCATCTCATTTATCGAAAATGCTAAAGTATTTTGTTATTTTATTTTTTCTTTGTAGTAAACTGCAAAGACCACTTTCAAAGTGGATTAACAGAAAGCCAATTTATCTGGTTATCATATATTATCTGGTTGTCACAGAATTTCAAAAAATCAGAAAAATTCAATTAAAATTGTAAATGTAAAAAAATATATTAGTGTTATCCTGCAACTACCTATATATTGTGTTTATATTTAAGCATACTGCGTTATGTACTGTAAGTGTTTTGCTTTTCTTTATGTTATATTGTTTAAAGAATCTTGGTATGGTGATAATGGTTATTTAAGTCCATTTAATTTGTGCACTTATTTTTTCTTTGCTCAAAACAACTTTTGCATCAAGAAACAGACATTTCAGCATAATGAGCTATTAAAAGCCATAATTCTTTTACAGAAGTCTCTTACAATATTTGCATGAAGTTGGATGAAATCAGATATATTAATGATAATTTCACATTTTCATTACATCTGTCCTGTTTTCATCTTATCTCAAATTAGGCCGAATGGGGGTAGTAAGTACATTTATTATTACCAGCTAATTTTGTTTATCTGTAGAAAATATTAAAATAAGCTTATTTTAAAGCTGTTTGCTTTTCTTTTATGTCAGAGTACAGTATATTCTAGGTGGTGCTGAATTGCTAAAGTGTGGGATAAATACTGGAATTGTATTGAACAGATGCACTATGAGGGTTTACAGTAAGTTGTGATATGTTTTGGCATGTGAAAAGTGCTGCAAATGGGACACTTGGAAATCTGTTTTGTAATTAACTTGTATACTTGTAAATCACTTTTGTAAGGTCATTGTATATGACCATATTTTTTAAAATGTGTGCACCTTTTGGGGTTGGTTAAGATATCTGCCAGTCTATAAGAAGTGTTTTGGTTGTGGGTTTGAAAGTATTTTATCTATAAGTATAAATAAATTTTTGCATTCTTGACATGACTGATGAAGTTGCATTATAGATATGCTATAATTCTGCACTTTTACATTAAATGTTCTTCCTTCAAACTATAAACATATAAAACAGTAACAGCCCTTTCTGAGGCTTTGAGTTTGTTTACAAAAACATTCCACTTTATAATACATCTTTGTGAGGAGAGGAAATTAACAATTTTCATATTCTGTACATTGACAATGGCTTTTCACAATGCATGGAAAAATTGATTTTTTAAATTCATAGCAACATTTCCTTAAAGTGATGCTTATCCTTTCTAACCTAATCTTTGTGCTGTATTTTTTAATTAGTCCTAATTTTCCATTATCAACCTATTGTATAGCTATGTTAGGAAACTGTACATAAAATAATAAATTGATGAACCTTTAAACTTGTTGTCTAGACATTTTTTTTATTAGAAAAAGCACGTATTTCATACTTTCACAGTGTTTGTTGTTAGTATACAAGTGATTTGGACATTTGTGTACAGCTTAGAATGTATCAAGACATTCATTTTAACGTGTGTACTCTAATATTTGCCTTTTAAATTGTTCTTTTCGTGCATTGGTTTTCTGTCAAATAAATCTGAACTGAACCTGATTGGTTAGCCTGGTCTGACAGTGGCTAAGTCTGGATTGGTCAGGGTAGACTTTACGTCACAGAAAGGAAACATCTGATTGGCCGATGGAAGTGTGACCTCCAATCACACCATGGCGGCTGTCCAAACTCCATCCGTACGCAGACACTATGGATGCCAACTGCCGTAAAACTCCAATGAAGAAGAAACTCCATCCGTACGCAGACACTGGTGTGAAATACCACGGTTAGAAACGGTTGCGAAGGGAAAGTACAGTATCACAGGTAGCTTATCATATATTGTATGAATGTAAAGATAGGATGAAGAAAGTATCGTTAAAATATGATATGTTAAAATAACATCACTGTTATAAGATAGTTATAATAACGAGACATCACTGTTATTAGTTATAATAACTAGACATCACTGTTATAAGTTAACATTAGTTATAATAACTAGACATCACTGTTATAAGTTAGCATTAGTTATAATAACTAGACATCACTGTTATAAGTTAACATTAGTTATAATAACTAGACATCACTGTTATAAGTTAACATTAGTTATAATAACTAGACATCACTGTTATAAGTTAGTTATAATAACTAGACATCACTGTTATAAGTTAGTTATAATAACTAGACATCACTGTTATAAGTTAGTTATAATAACTAGACATCACTGTTATAAGTTAGTTATAATAACTAGACATCACTGTTATAAGTTAGTTATAATAACTAGACATCACTGTTATAAGTTAGTTATAATAACTAGACATCACTGTTATAAGTTAGTTATAATAACTAGACATCACTGTTATAAGTTAGTTATAATAGCTAGACATCACTGTTATAAGTTAGTTATAATAGCTAGACATCACTGTTATAAGTTAGTTATAATAGCTAGACATCACTGTTATAAGTTAGTTATAATAGCTAGACATCACTGTTTTAAACGTCATTCTGTTATCATCGTAGTGACAACTTTTAGATCATTTTTCAATAATATTTCTGTTTTAAAATAACAAAAAGACACCTTAGAAAGGAAGAAATTAGGATTAATTTGTTAGTTGAGAAAACATGTTGCATAATGTCTCTTTTTCTCTCTGCATGTTAATGTTCACTCCATATGACCCTCTTTGCATGCATGTGTGTTTTTCTGTGCGTTCAGTGGTATTGGCCTTGCCCTGTGTGTGCGTCTACTAAGCCAGGATGGCCAGCTGCAGCTCTGTCTGGCCTGCAGGAGAATGCAGAGAGCTGAGGCTGCCCGACAGGCCCTTCTAGTGTCTCACCCTCGAGCTCAAGTTACTCTGCTGCACTTAGATGTGGGCAACATGCGCTCTGTGCTCAGGGCTGCTGAGGAGTTCAAGCTGAAGTAAGACATCCCAGTCCCTGTTTACCAAAATGCATTTTAATGGACTTTATGCTTTTCATACAGTTATAGTGACCAGGAGATGTCAAGCTCTAAAAAGCACCATACTAGTAATACATGACTCGTCCACTTGAAGCCATATCATATGGTGAGGAAGTAACAGACTAAAATTTAAGTTGCTGTTGATAAAAAAATTCTGCACTGTAGTTCTGTAGTTTTTTTCTGAAATTGAATTGCGCATATTAAAAATTATTACACCACAGTTAGTAAGCATGAACCAGTGCTGTTTGGTGTTATTACAGAACTTTCACTACTGTAGTATCCATTCCAGAAACCGAAAACTGCACTTGTATGTAATGAACAATTTGATTACTTTTGAATTCCCTTTCATGTATTTATACAAAGTTAGGAGCAGATTAGGAGTCACTAGACACTGTGAACTTGGTTTGATGTGACTTGCACATTTGAAGCCCCAGATCTGTTTAAAGTATAATGCTAAATAAACGTTATACATAATATAACTTTGAATGAACATTAAAATGTTATTTAACTTTTTTTAAACTTTTTTTTTTTTTTTACAGGTACAACAGATTGGACTATCTGTATCTCAATGCTGGAATCATGCCTAATCCCAGAGTAGATCACAAAGCCTTTTATAAAGGCCTGTTTTCTAGGTACAGTATTTCTTTCTATATACACTGCCTATTTAAAAGTTTTGAAATTATAATGATTTTATTCAGCAAAGATGCGTTAAATTAAAGGGGTCATATGATGTTGCTAAAAAGAACATTATTTTGTGTATTTGGTGTAATGAAATGTGTTTATGCGGTTTAAGGTTAAAAAAACACATTATTTTCCACATAGGCCTACTGTACATTATTGTTGCTCCTCTATGCCCCGCCTTTCTGAAACGCATCGATTTTTACAAAGCTCATCGGTCTGAAAAGTGAGGTGTGCTCTGATTGGTCAGCTATCCAGTGCGTTATGATTGGCCGAATACCTCAAGCGTGTGACGGAAATGTTACGCCCCTACCATACTGTGATGGCGTGTCCGGCGGAGCTACGAGACATAAACATTAAATCCCATAAACGAGGCATTAGTTGCATCCAGTGGGGACATAGTAAACATAAATCTGCATTTGTGATCGGAGAAATAGGGCTGTCGCGGTGAGGGAATTTCCCTTGTGGTAATTTTGAGTGGCACAATAGCGCGGTATGCGGTATTATCGCCATATATATACAGTATATATATATATAATTTGTGTGTGTATGTGTTACGACTAACGAGGTCTTATTCAGAAGACAATGAAACCGAAAGCAAATAGAGTTGAAACAGGAAGTGAAGTAAACAGAAGAGAATGACAAAATAACAGTCCACATAACAGAACATAAACCTGACAATAAGATCGTTAGGCTATCGTTAGCCTATATGTATAACAGTTAGCCTAGTTGTAATCTGATTTTCTAATCTGGACAAGAGACTTTCTATTGATATTTCCACCTGTGCGCGTTCTAGACGGGCTGTCAGGCAGTGCAGTTACAGTGTTGCGCCACAAGGTGGTGGAAAGGGACTGTCATTCAACTACACGTTCAAAAACGCTGATTCATTCATTCAAAGAGACATAATGAAACACGCTTTTGAAATCATTTTAACTTTGAGCGCCACTTTAGAAGGCTCAGCTGACCAGCTATGCGTCGATGCTAAGACAGAGATCTCGCTTTCCTTGAACATGACAACCTATTTTCACAAATATATATGACTCGGCCTGGAGGACAGACGCAAGTAATCGCACGCGCTCAGTCGATCTCTCTCTCATTCACTGTCTGTTTAGGCGTGTTAAGTGAAAATCTACGGAGCCTCTGTACAAATCAGCATGGTACACATTATGTTATAATTACTAACTTGTTTAATATTCAGTCCACATGCATGAAGTGTAAAACGAGAAGGGCATAACCTTACGAAAAAAGAAAACACGCAAATATCGCGGTTGCTGCGGGTTCTTGCATTCCTCTGCGGTTTGCTCGTCAATAGCGCGGTATTACGATATTGCGGTTATCGCGACAGCCCTATGGAGAATTGACAAACAACAAGCGCTACTCTACACTGCCCAAAACTCACGTTTGAATCGTCAGTGGCAAATTCTTTAAATATAAAAATATAAAAAACATACATAGTCAGAACAGCCGGCATTGTAGTCTACTCTCCCAGGATCAGGAAACAGTCCTCCATAAAATGATAAAATGTGATCTGAATATTTGGGTTGAACTGTTCTGGAACAGTGTTGTAAATACAACTTAACCACTGATTTCTAGTCGTGTCCTCTTTTGG